ATCCTGACCTGCTGCTGTGTGCTGTTTCAAAGCAATAAAATGTACTGGTGCAAGCTGTAAATATTAAAGTCAATAAGTAGGCAATTGACATTATACATATTTGAATCATTGGAAATAACACATGGTAGAATTCTCTTTTATCTTCACTGTTGCTTCAAATCATCAAAAAACTGTTTATGAAAATTCCTAGGGGAAGAAAAATATATTAAAAGTTTGAAGAGAGATAATTTATGGTGCTTTGTTATGAAGATGCCTGCAGAGTTGTAATTATCCCTAAAACAGACATTATAAACCCTTGAAATGTAGAAATAGAATCATATTTTAGAAGTTTTAAATTTATTAAGGTATGGAAAATATGGAACTGTCTTGCTGGGCAGTTTTATCTCCAGCTACAGTGACATCTTGAGGCAGGAAATGAAACCATCTGGGTTTTGTTAAAACAGCCGTAATCATTGAAATTCACTAATCACAAAAGAGAAGATACTGCAAAAGGAGAGGTAAAATGCCTAAGAGCTGGAGGTAACAGAACTGTGGGGTCACATTGCCGTTTGAGGTTTGTAATTTGTTATCTCGGCTCCTTCAGCAGAGTTAACACTTCTGTGGCACATGTTTATTTAGAATTTGAGCAGCCTTGAGGAGCAGATCATTTTTCCTGAGAAACCTCCACCTGTGCTCTGCAGGCATCTCAGTTAGTGTTTTTGTTACCTGTCAGTGTAATCCACCAAGAAAACACCTGTAAAAATAAGCTTATTGATTAGTTTTTACCTCATTTGAACAGTGAGATGATTCAGTTCTGTGTCTTCTGTGTTTCCTATGAACAATACATTTTAAACAACTCAAAGGGTAAATGAAGGACTTTGCAACCACAAAATCAAGTCAGGGATAGACTGAAGGGGGTGATGAAGACATAATTTAAAATGTGTGAAAAGCTTGAAAAAGTGAGGAACTGAATGAAGAATGGTTATTTATTAGGAGGGTCCAATTCTACTAAATTTTGCAATGGTAAGAGCTGGCAGTATAACGTATAGGTTAAGGAACAGGCTGATAAGCAGAGAACACAAAACAACAATGAGGGCAGGAAGGGGAGGAAATCAGGTTGGGAAAAATTGAAATTTCTCCTTTATGCTGGCAATAACAGAGATTACACAAATGTACAATTTGCAATCCTGTAGTTGGAACAATTCCTGATGTCTCATTCACTGTGACAGATAGGCAAGGGCATAATTTTAACATGCAAACTCCTGAGAAAGATGCAAGTAGTAATGCAAGGAGCACTTCAGTCACCATTCAAACTGTAGAAAGGGCTGTTAGTGTTTCTAATTGAGTGCAAAAGCATTTATACAGTTGTTGCATTGAAGGAATCATTTCTCACAAGATGGAGAAAAGAGTAATTTGGCTGAAGGCTTTACTGCAGTGAGGTCTGTAAGCAGAGCCTTAGGTAAAAGCTTAAAAAGAAAAATTGCCAGGAACTGTATCAGCTGTAAGAAGTTATTCTGGCTCTAAGAGCTTATGGCTACATGACATATTGTATGCCATAGCAGCTTTACATGCAGTAAATTTATTTCTTTAAATATCTGTAAAGTGTTATTTACCTTTCGTTTCCCTCTCCTTTTTTGTCCACTACAGCCTCAAATCAGGTTGTCTCAAATTTTTTTGTTTCAATTTTTTTTCTCCACTTCCAGGTAGCATCTGCTATTGCTCCCTTTGGTAACATATATTTGTAGCTACTTTTTCTCTTTCCAGTCTTTTCTGTTACACTGTCTCTCTGCCCTACCTTCATGGAAATAAATAAATTATTATTTGAATTGCAGAAATATATTCTAGAATTAAATGCAATTTCCATTTAATTAAAAGAAAAACTGTACCAGCTCCAAACAATCCATCAGTAATGTATTTTCAGCTAATCAAAGACCACATTCTTCTTATGTTTTTATTGTTTTCAGATACTGTATATTGGTTTATATTCAGAATATTAATTACAGTAAGAAGAAATAATAATCTCTATAGTGATAAATATCACAGAGTTATAGAATGATTTTGATTGGAAGGGATCTTAAAGACCATTCTAACCCCCTGCCATGGACAGGGAAACCTTTCACTTGCTCAGAGCTCCATCCAGTCTGACTTTGAAAGCTTCCAGAGATGAGGCATCCCCAACTTCTCTAGGCTATGAGTTCCAGTGCCTTACCACCCTCACAGGAAAGAAGTTTTTTCTAATATCTAATCTAAACACATGGTCTCAGTTTAAAGCCATTCCCCCTTGTCCTGTCACTACATGCCCTTGTAAAAAGTTCCTGTCCATCTTTCCTGTAGGCTACCATTAGGTCACCCTGAAGCTGCCTCTTCTCCAGGCTGAGCAATCCCAATTCTGTCAGCCTTTCCTCACAGGAGAGGTGCTAACATCCCTCCACCTGATCTGCTAACAGTGCAGGAAGGAATTATTTGTAGTTGGGGAGCAAGTTGAAATAGAACTGCAATTCAAATAAATGTGTTCCTTGAAGTGAGTGCATAATTATATCAAAATAAAAGTAAGTTTATTTTAAGTATGAAATTTAGAATCAATTGTACCAGACAGAGCTTTTTACTTGGGGGGATCTTTGTCAAAACACTACATATTCTCCTTTTATGATAACTTGTTTACTTCTTGATTTCCCTGCCAGAACTGCACCCAAAGCACTGCAGATAGCAAATAGCATTCCCCTATGGGAATGTAACCCTTCCTTCCTATCCTGCTCTTAAACTTCAGATTTCATGTCTAGGTAAAAATGTGTAGTGACCCAGCATGCCATTAATAAAGAAATACACACTGGTATAGGTATTATCTAGCACTTAGGGACTCAGGCTTGTACAAACCATGACAAGGCAGTCTGAGAGTCTGTAATATATCTAATAACTACCTCATAAAAATAGCTTTAAATAAGATGGTTGCATAATAAATTAACTTAATAGACATATGTACTAGTTCTTAATAGGCCCCATTTATAAAACAAAGATGATTTGCTTTACTGAACATGAATACTTAAATTGGAAATATATTTTTATTTTGAGACATTCTTGGTTATCAATCAACGTGAGTTTGTTAGTTTCTTAACACCAGTTTGTTTGAATCATTTTAAAACTCTTGGAAGTCATCCTTTTTCAGCCTGAACTTTAATCTTGAACCAAAAGAGAGGAAAAACTCATCAACCCTAGTTGGTATCAGAAAATTCATTTTTATACTACAAGGATCAACTCTAGTCTAGTTAACATAGTTCAAAAGTGCATCATCGCTGTTATGTTGGTCAGATACAGTAATACTTTATTCTGTTTTTCAGTCATTGGTTTAAAAAAAATAAATTTGCAACATAGGTAGATTTAGTTATCAATCTATTTTTATAGTTGCTTACTTTTTAAATGAATTCTGACCCAACACCTAAGTGACCAGTAAAGTTATTGCCTATTTTTAGAACTGTTGTTTTGATGAGATGGGAGATACCATACTGAAAGGTTAAATGAAATGTCATTAAAGTTTTTCCTGTCTCAACTTGGCTTTAGGTAGCTTGCTGTTAGAATGCCCAAATTGGTCTGAAAGCTATTTCCCACAAAATTGTTGTGTGTTTTCTCACCTTTCCCCTTTTACATCTAATTCCTCTTTTTATAGGTTAAATTATGCAGGATTTTAAAAAAAAGATAATTTGTTTAAAGCACAGGAATTATCATTATTTACTTCTGCTTTAAAATTTAGGCATGTTTTCCAGTAGGTACCTAGTGGTAAAAGCATGTAATCAACGTGGAAACAAGGGGTGGAAGAGTTTTCTGAGCCAATAGTGGCTCTGGATCTGGGCAGAAAACATCCTTACTAAGTGCTTTGCACTAATATTAATGGAAAACAAAGTATAGTTTTCAATGTGAATGTTGTTGGCAGAAAAAAAAAACAGTAAATAAAAAGTGTACCATTATTCTGCTGAAGCTTCTAATTTAGAGAGGATTTTTCATTTTTTTTATAGGAACAACCTTTACAAATGCTTAAATGGGGAGAAGTAACTACAATCATTACTTTCTCTTTATAAAACTTTTTTTAAAATCCTAGCTTTTTTGTTAATGGTTTTTCTCTTGTATTATACATGTTGAGTACTGTTTCTCAATCTTATGATTTCAACAGAAGAACCAGAGCACTAATGGATAACTGAATGCACAACAGAATTATCTCCTCTCCATAACCTTTTGAAGAGTAATACTTTACTTTCTTTGTGGGCTTCTAATTAATGTGCTCTTCTGCATCTCTGTTGTTTTAATTCTGTTCCTCCCACAATGGAAGGTTGCCTTTCTGGATTTTGTAATTAGTGACCACACATTGCTATTATCACCAACTTCCAGTTCCCTCTAGGTTTGTGTATTTTTATTCTGCTTAGGGTTTGTTTGGCTTTTTTTCCAGAGATCTCAGTGAGACCCTGCTCTTGATAGAGTTTGGGTAAAGGATTTCCGTTTGGGAGGGGAAACCCACTGGACTTTGGGAATCTAGACTAATATCATTCACTGCACACACTGAGTCAAGTGTTTTGAATATGAGTCATTACTGCATATAATTTACATGAAATTATATCAATAACCACCTCCTGTAAGTCAGAATTAAAATAGGAAATACAAAAGCTGATGTGATGGCTAATAATTATTGAAAGTTAAATTACTATTGAAAGCTAAATTACCTGAAACTGCTCAATGTAGAAAGGGAGAAAAAAATAAAATTATTCAAAATTTGAAGTGGGTTTTGTAGGTCTTTCCAACATTTTTATAAAACGTACCCTGTAAATTGCTCGAAGTTGAAGCACAATTAGTCATCATTACTGACGTACGTTAATCTGCCTTGGTTTGGCTGCACTTTGAAGTTATGCTGGCTCATATTATCCATTGCATTTTATGAGCAAAGGCAATGCAGAGCAAAAACAACCAACGTACAAGACAGCTTTGCCCTTTGCACTTTACCCAATGGGCCTTTGGTTTGAGATCACGTCCTTCTGCAGGCCATCGAGACCCACCTCATCCGAAAGTCAAGCGGGGGCCTGACGTACATCGCCGAGTGGAAGGGCGGATTGCTGGAACACAAGATGGGACACCTCACGTGTTTTGCTGGAGGCATGTTTGCTCTGGGAGCAGATGGAGCACCCAGTGACAAGACAGGCCATCACATCGAGCTGGGTGCTGAAATTGCCAGGACGTGCCATGAATCCTATGACCGTACACGTGAGTAGTGTATTGCAGAGCCTGGCTGCACAGCTTGCCTTCCTCAAGGCACCACTGCTGGTTTTGCATAAAGCTGAATGAAAATTGTAGCACAGTGAGAACTGTTCATCCCTTCTGAGCAAACGCTGCCTTGCTTCAAGAGTAACTTTTAAAATGGCTGCTCTGTTTTATAAATAATTTCTGTGCACTTGAAGCGTATCTCCTCGCTGTAGTAATTGACATGACAGTTGCATAACAGTAATTAACAAGCTTTTTTCACTATGCCAATTTCTCTATAGCTGAATACAAGAGAGCGACTCTGTTCATTTATGCATCAATATAGGTATTCATCATGTTTTATGCACAAAAGAATATTTTACACTCAGTTCTGTTGATACAATGCTGCAAACAATAGAATTGCACAAAGAAAGTGGATTTCTCTGCAGGAAATTTATTTGGATTTTATCGTCTTCTTATAGAAATAATCCTGGCAGCATTTCAGGTCCCACAGTATATTTTCCAGTTTGATATAGAAAAGTAAATATCCTCATCTTTTAGGCAAAATTTCACTTGTTGCTAGTTACATGAATTCCTCCAGAATGCAAACGTTAGCATTGCTGTTTAAACTGTAACTGCCATTTAGGGCATTGGTGAAGAACAGCTCTCTCCTACTCCAAATTATTTATAAAATATTGAAAACAGGAGGAACTGCGGTATCTTTCACAAATTATATTGTTTTGGACAACCTGGCTTCATGCCACATAAAAGCCTAATTTGATTTGGTAATTTGAGGAGTTTGATTTGGTTACATAATTTGAAACCTTTTTTAATGCCTTTGTTTTAGTCTGTGCTTTTTTTGTCGGCTAGGAATGAAACTGGGACCAGAAGCCTTCAGATTTGATGGTGGTGTTGAGGCCATTGCCACAAGACAAAATGAAAAGTACTACATCCTACGACCAGAAGTTATAGAGACCTACATGTACATGTGGCGGCTCACTCACGATCCAAAGTACAGGGAGTGGGGATGGGAAGCTGTTGAGGTAATGTTCTATTGGACTTTCTTGTTCTTAAATCCTACTAATTTTGTTCAGCACTGGAGACTGTTCAGCAGTTGGAGACTGAATATTTATTTTAAATCAGTGATATCAATTCAGATTTCCAGGCATTTTGACAAAACCAAATATTGCTGATATTGTATAATAGAAAAGTCCCTTGTGATTTCTCCTTCTTAAATACTTCTAGGATTAGGGGTCACATTTGGATGTACTGTCCAAGATGTTGAGTGTTGCTGCATGTGAATGGAAGGTACATACATGTGTCAGATTTGAGCCTTGGATATGGGAATAAGTTTTATGAAATATATTTTCAGTAATTGTGTGAAGGTAATTTTAATTAAAGTGACAAAGGCCAGGATGAAGGACTAGGTAGTACCAAACATAAAACCATGTCACTTTCAAGAAGCATAAGTTATTTGGACAAAACTCCCTAAATGATAGCAATTTCTTCTAGATTTGATTTTTTTTTGTCCCACTGGCCTTTGAGCTTTGACCAGTCAAGTTGAACCTAGCTATTTGTGCTTGTCTAGCACAAGCCTTCCAAAAGGGCAGCTAGTCTGCACTGCAAAAAATGGGCTTGCCAAATCCAATGTTTCCTTTACTTCAGCAATTAATCAATCTTACTCTTAAGGCTGAGAGCCTTTAGATTTGCCATGTTCCATCTTCCAGGTATGGGTCCTTATTACACTTTTCTGGAGTTCACTTCTGTCCTCTTCACACTGGTGCCACCCTTGCTAAATTATCTGGCATCTGACAGGAAATACAGCAAGCTGAAGAACATTATTTTTCTGGCTCTGTGTACTTAAGAAAAATGAAATACAAAAAAAAAAAAAAAAAAAAACAGAAAAAACCTCTCTGCAGTATTTTGTTTACAGTGACCTCTCTTGTGCACAGGTATTGCCTGTCTTGTTTGTCGGTTTACTCTCTTGCTTCTAGAAGTATATGATTACAACCTTCTTGGAGAGGCTTATACCACTACTTGTAGAAAGTTGCTCTACTCTGAGGGTAGAATGTGTAGACTTGTGTCCTAAAATTTCTCATCCTCAAGGGACCCTACTAGAGAGCTGTAACTGGGTTATGACCCCATAAACCCAACTCCCTCCACAGCAACCAAGTTCTGTAAATGTATTCAGTATTCAGTGTGTAGATACCGATCATATCAGAAATGTTGTGCAAATGCTATTGAGCATTGTGGAAAAAAAAAAGGGTATTTCATGTCTGGTAATTAGATACCCTCCAGGAATTAAATTTAAGCCAAAATCTGCTTTACAAAAAAGAATAGTAGTATTAACTATGCTTATACTCTCAAACTTCTTGCCTGAATATTCACGATTGTTCCATACCTGCACTGAGCACTGTATTCAGCTAGGCTGAATTTAGGGCATTGTATTTGCCTCCCTCAGGTGTTGGCTCTGGGATCCTGAAACAATATGCCTCTGAGTTACTTATTCCAAAGCAATTGGGGTTTTAAAACCTCTAATTTAGAGGGCTGTTCCCTTACTTTCTGCTTTGCTAACATCACCCATAGGCATACATTTTACTACTGGAATCTTCCCAGGCAGATTCTAATTGGCATATTTACAATGACTGTTTGTGGAAGTCATCCCATCAGGCTTCAGCAATGCCAACTGTTCCTTCTCCAGGAGATGTTTTTCCTGACTCATTGTTACTGCCCACACTGATAACATTGTAATAAACAATTGAAATGTTTTCCTTATTATTATTCTTTACCCATTTGGTTCAGTTTGTTTGTGTTTCTTTCGAGTTGGTACACTTGTTTACCTTCTTCTTGCTCCCCACGTGTTCCTTGTTTAACATTCTTGTGGTTATCCTCAATCTGGCTCTAACACAGGCTGTGTGTGGGAGATGCAGCTGGTCCATTCTGCCCGGGGCCCATCTTCCATTGTCCTAATGTGCGGCTGAGTGTTTTACAAAAACAAACCTTGCAGCATTCCAGAAGTTATGCAGTCAGTTGTAGGTTTAAAATATTTTTTCTGCCTGTTCTCTCTTAGCTTAACATATCTATTTCATAAATTCTGTTCTTTCTTGCTCCTTAATGTTGCCCCAAAGAGCACCTGATCCTTTGTATTGGTTTGAAAGCAAAACCAGTGCGAGACTCCAAGTCAGTAATACAATTTAATAGGAAAAAAGAGAAAA